ACTTTGTGGCACATGATTGGCTGGTAGCTATTGCAATACAGCACAAGACCATCTCAAATCTACATGCTTCCGAACAAAGTACGCAATATGCTATTGCAATGACCTTTGCGTAATTATGACTGAAGAATTTTCCAACTTTCCTTTCTCAGATAGTCAGATTAAATGCTATAAATATGACAGGTTTGGCGTTGTGAAACTTCGGAAAATCTTGTCGTGAGAGCGAAGCGATAATCGATGAAAAATCAGTGATTTCAGTGAAAAGAGAGAAAATGCTTCCGAAATATGATATGCATTAGCACCAGCTAACTGGAACTTTGACGGCAGCTGTAGGTTAGCACCCCATAATGTTAGTAAACAGCAAGCTTTCGAACTCATTATTGCCACTCCATCAATTATTTTCTTAGAGATGATGGATGTAAGAAGATGAATCGCATATATCTACCAGCCGCGTGCCACATTCCCGACTTTGTGAAGAAACATGCAGATATCAGCTGACTTCTCACAGTGACTTGTGAGATAGATTATTTACAGGCTAGCTGACAACAAGGAAAAGGAAAATAAGGGAAAAAAGAGAAACGCACAAAAATCAACAATCCACCAACCGATTGTTCGAATCCTGTAGCTATTGAGCAGACGTCACGAGAGCTGAACTGATTATCCTCTTTCGAGAACCACCAACCTCGGACGTCACCGCGTTCACCGGGATCGACATTCGGTACCAGCGGGGCGCTCATAAATTCAAAATCCGCATATTTTTTGAATTGTTTGCGTAGGCTCCCAGTCTTCTCACGGAATAACACATCATTTTGTCGATATCCATGAAGACAAAGAATGCGCAGCTTTTTCGCAGCTGTCATTCAACGAAAAACTATAACAAACTATCTATCAGAAAAAAACTCAGACTTAATATATGCTCCATGATGAAGACGGTCGTCCAAATAGGTTGAAAGCAAGCAAGGCTGACACGCACGCGGCGCGTGGGCAAATGTCAACCATGGAGCACGCG